GGGGGGGGGGGGGTGCGTGCCGGGGAGAGGGTCTGGAGGACCCCTACTCACTCGGTCCGGGGGTGACATCCATCTTGTTACCGGGCAGCCGCCTGCCCAGGTGCTGCGCCGAGCCCACGTGCTTCCCGTGCCTGGTGACCGAGGGCGGGACGTAGTAGCAGGGACCCGGCGAGCAGTCCTCTGCCATGCGGTGCCTGGGCCCTTGGAAAGTGTAGGCGGGGGCTTTGGCCTTCGTGGGGTTGTGAGAGAGGTAACCTGGGAAGAAAAGCCCGTAAAGGTGGTTTCTAAGCGCTGTAGTGGAGTTGCCGGCCTCAAGAAATTCCTTTCCTGTGTGACTTTTTCCTCCAAGAACAATACCAGCGGGCAAATACAAGGGTACAACGACTTCCAGCAACACTGTGCCATTAATCAAACATCACCAAAATGCTGTTTTTCTGAAGTATTAAACTGTGAAAGAGCTGCTGAGCCAACTCCAAGCAAACATAAAGATCGCTTCTGTGATGTTTTGCTTTCCTGCAGCCCCAGTGGGAAAGAAACACCTTAATGCTATTTCGGAGGAGAAGAAAGTGAAGGAGAAGAAGCAGCTTAAAAAGGAGGAGAAGCATAGGAAGAGAAGATGAAGTAGAAGAGGAGATGATGAGGGGGGAGGAGAAGAAGAGGAGGAGAAGGCAGAGAGGAAGAGCAGAGCAGAAGGAAAAGATGTGGTGGGAGCAACAGGTTGGTAGCAGAGACATGACACAAGTGTCCTCCTGTGCCCCCTGCGCTCCGCAGAGCCGGGCAGCTCATCCCTGGGGCTTTCCCACCCACAGCCCGAGCCTTCCTCCGGCTGGCGCCCGCCCGCACAGAGCTGCGAGCGGGGGGCTCGGGGCTGTGGTCCCGAGGCAGGGGTCTGTGTGCCACCCTGTCCCTCACCGCGCCGGCCTTACCGGTTGTCCCAGGGATGGTGTATTTGGGCCCCGGGCTGGTGAACTGTGCCATGATGAAGCCACGAGGGCGGTGGGGTCTCCAGGAGCCCACCCAGGGCTCGTCCGTGGTGGAGGTGCCGACAAAGTCTGGGGAAGAGCAGGGGAGCTGCTGAGGGGGTCCCGGCAGGGGCGCGGGGCCAACCCCCCCTCCCGGGGCAGCGGCAGGGTTTCACCTCTCTTGGATGTGGCCATGGGGCCGGGCGCGGGCGAGATCTTCGGAAGCGGCAGCTTGTGGTCGGGGAGGGCGGCGAAGGGGAGGACGGGCACCGATGGGGCAGGAG